TAGGTACACTCCATACACGGAAGATGTGGAAAGCGTGATGGAAAATTTCATTTGAAAGGGCTAGCACTTGCGCGTTGGTGGGATACTGTCATTTTGAGCCAATCAGCTGTCGCGAACTGGAATATCGCCAAAAAAGCACTTCCTATTCCGGTTTCGAATGAAGTAAAAGTTCAAACCAACTCCCCCCCCCCCTATCTCCGGAATATGGAGTGTAAATTATGCCCCCTAGTTACACTCTTGTTCGCTGCGGACGCTAAGGCGTTTGAGGGGACTGGCTTTGGCGCCGCGCCATCTCGTTCTCTACCAATTGTGGTCGCCTGCCAGCTTCCACTATTGGTGGAGAATGGGCTGGCGCCGCGCCAAACCCAGCTACCCGTGAAGCGCCCAGCGTTCGCGGCGAACAAGACCGTACGCGTAGCGGAAGTGGAATCTGTGACGCCTGAAACAATGCTAATCAATCTCACACCCTTTTTATTAAATTGTGTAATTTCTTTTTGAATTTTCAGAGCCCTGTATGTTTCAGAGATTGCCATGGAAAATGGCCAAAATCCGAACGAGCGGATACCCTTCAAGGATCAGACGTGGAAAGGCACAAAATCTCGAACCAGAGATGCGACTCTGTCCAGATATACCGGAGTAGATGTCACATCGTTGAATCTGATCACTAAGGTATGCAGTCGCCGTCTTGATGAATGTAGTTCCATAACCTCCTGGATTTTTTTATTCAGGTGGCTGAATCTCACTCTGGCGAACTTTGGCGCGGTAAGTGGCAAGGTAACGACATAGTGGCCCGTATCTTGGCCGTGCCAGAAGTAACACCGCGAATCTCTCGTGATTTCCAGACAGAGTTCCCTGCGCTCAGGTGAGGATTATTTTCAATTCTGGTGCTTCTGAAAAATTATGAAGCGGAAAAATTACGAAGCGGTTGGTGGATTTCTGGGAGAGGTTCTCGCGGTCAACTTTCGTTCAAAGGCAGTTGGCACGATAATTCCCTAGGAGGATTGGGATTAATACGCCAGGCAGGACGGAATTCCGCGCTCCTGAGCAGGCGCTGCGCAGCGCGTTTTCAAGGCACCCAATGAGGCCCATCAAGCTGCAACACACCGACCTGGACGCCCACCGCGCCCCGCCCACAAATGGACGACCGTACCTGATGCTCGTATTGCTTCATTTGCTAAGTAAAATATGAAGCGAAGGGATTGATATGAAGCGGCCGCGGTGCTGCATGGATACATGAGTTCAAAGTGCAGCCGTACCTACCTAGCGTTATTGGCAAGACGCCTACGGGAAACTCGTCCGATATCGCTTTTCGAGTCATTAAGAACGAAGGCTTTTCTTCGCAGGTTTTTGACCGTTTCACTTCGTTTTTCGCCATTTTCCCCACTATATAGCACCCTGCTAGCATTTTAGGCCCTTGCCCTTTAAGCATTTTAGGCAGTGTACTAAATTATCGCGCCATATGCCTTTAAAGGCACAGTCCACACTGTTTGTATGGGCGGAGATGGTCGGTCATCCTGCCTTAGAATGGTTGCACCAATGGGAAAGGATTCCCGTTACAGCGCTCGGTCTTATTTTATCAGCAATATTGTAACTTCAAAGGCAGGTTTACACTTCATTCAACGATCCAAGGACTGCGACCTGCCTGAAACCGCCTGAACCACCATCGAAGGAAGTCGCTTCAAGATCCAAGGATGAGAATCTGGCCTGAACCTACCTGAATCCAACAACGAAAGAAGTCGCTCAGTTGATGGCACTCATTTATGAGAGCCCGAAATGAGAGAATTAAGTGTGTTGTTGTTTGTGTCCAAATGTGACCGCATAGGAAGAACGTGCACGTATTGTAATGTTCCTAGAACACTGAGGATACGCTGTGCGCTCACCCTCGCAGATCCTGGCCCTTGCTATCTGCCTGCGTGTACAAACCGCATGGAGCTTTTCTGGCTCGTCCTTAGCCCCTTTAGCATCATTTTCACATTCTCGAAAAGTGCGCCGGAAATGAGGCCGAAAGGTAGGACGGTAGCCAAATCTGCCTTCCGATTTCACTCGATAGAATAAACCTTTGGACGCAACGTGACGTACGACCAAACATACGCCTAACTGTCGCGCTACTTGTCTGCGCTCCCTTACGTTCAGCTGTTCTACACAGCTGGTCGCAATAGGCAGCTTATCCTTCATGTTCTTCGGCATCGGCGCACATGCTGCACGTTTTGATAACTGGTGAGGTCCGAGACGGCATATGACTATCATGGTCCTCCAGCCTCATGCCGGCAGACTTTCGGATAACCAGAGTGGCACGGGTCTATAACCCTGAACTAGTCCACATGACAAGTATTCATCCTTCGAGTAAGCGTTCCCCAAAGTCTGACCCACGGAGATGGTAGGTAATGGGGCTCCAGCGCAAATGAAAAGGAGATAATCTTAGTTCACTTTGTGACGAGCAAGAACCTTTCAGAAGTGTGATTAAAAGGACAAATGATGCGGGGCCGTGTCAATGGTGGGATAGGCTGGCATTTGAGTGCGGCACCACTCTGCTTTACCACTAGTTGTGGAGGGTTAAGTGGCTAACAATCTTGGTCGGAATAAGGCGTCCAGACCGAACACCTTACGCCGTGACACGCCCACAGGCATCCAGCGCGAAACAAGACTGTGTATTCTCTTTGCTCGAAGAAGGCGCCTCGTTTAGAAGACGCCGTATAAACACCAAATGAACGCGCATGACAATGAGTTCTGTCTGAATTCGGAGCTTTTCAGGATCTTCGCTCATGCCAACATCTGCCCAGTATTGGCAGCCGCCAACCAGCCTCCAAATCTTGTTGTCATCAGTCAGTTCATGCCGTTCGGAAAGTCTATTATGATGTGCTGCATGAGCAAAGCTGTAAGCGATTACCATAGTCAGAAATTATGGTGGGGGCTGTGAAATTGAATTCATGTCTTTTCAGCTGTTGTCATTGACCACAGTCAAGCTGTTCGCTTCGCCGTGGACATTGCTCGAGGAATGTCGTACCTGCACAGTCTCGATCCTCCTATCTTGAGGTAGGATACCATTTATCGAATTTTTAGAAAATTTCGGCGTTCTTCTGTGTCACTCGAGACCAGCATCCAATTAGCTTTAGCAATTACAAGTACATTTTTCATCACTGTGGCTCTTCAGCCAAAGCTGCCTCATTTTTGATTCGTTCGGAATTTATCCTTAGTTTGATCGGCCAAGTCTGCTGGTCCGCAGTGGAGTAAATCATTGGTCTAGCTAACTCCCCGACCTTTTTTCAAGCCATGCATAGTTAGGAAAGCTTGTCGTGTTGGTCAGGCACTAGTAGAACCAACCAGAAGTGTCTCTGCCTGCACTGTTCGAAAGAAGATCCGTCATATGATTTAATTTCACTTTAATGGCCAAGGAGCTAGAGAATTAGTGGCTTTTGTAGCCAATCTAGTGGCTTTTAGTCAAATTTAACCTCGGTGTCAACAAAACTGGCCCTGTTCAAACCGAAGCCCAACTCAGGACTGGCGTGTCGTACCTATCAGAAAGTGTTGCTAGTAAGGCCCCTCCCTCTATTTTGTTCCTTGGCTGCGTTACTTCAAACCCTCTCAGATGCTGACGTTACCGGATCACTTTTTCGTGATATTTTCCTTGAATTCAGATATTACTTGTCATCAAAGCACGTCGTCGTGGATGAAGAGCTCACTGCTAAATTGTCGATGGCGGACACGAAATTCTCCTTCCAAGAAGTGGGACGTGTGTATTCACCAGCTTGGATGAGCCCTGAGGGTTGGTCGTCTTGCTAGTAATTAAAACCTCCCTGAAGACAGCCGATCACCTTTTCAGCTCTTCAACGGGACCCTGAAGATTTGAATATCCGAGCTGCTGACATGTGGAGTTTCGGTATTCTTCTGTGGGAGCTCAACACCCGAGAAGTGCCTTTTGCTGATCTTTCCCCCATGGAATGCGGTATGAAGGTGCGTTGAATGATCAAAATGAAAAATCAAAATTTTGGGCCGTTGGTGCGTGAAACTGTGGTCACTCTCAGCTCATTGTCGATTACCGATTTCTGGCTGCAAGATGCGATTTTGCTTCATTGAGGAGGGATTGGGAGGAGGAAGGGGGGGGGGGGCTGGTTCGGTGAGGGTGTTTCCTTTATTCACGCTGAAGTGGTACTCCAGCTGAACATTCTTTCGCTTTCTTCCGCTCCCTTGACATTTAGTTCCTTCACCAGTAAAGCAGCCATCAGCTGTATAGTCTTGTTCGTAGCGGATGCTGATGTGTTCCAGGAGAGGAAGGGGCGGGGGAGGGGTGGCAGAATCTTACCATCTGCTCATTGCTCGTACCGATCTTTAGTTGCAGTATGTGGTTTCTGCTTCATTGGGAGGGGATGGGGATTGTTAGGCAAGGGTGGTCCCCTTTGAAGGTTGTCGCCTACCTGAACTCCTTTTGCTTCCCTTCACTCACACAAAATTCAATTCCTTCAGCAGAAGAGCAGCCATCGGCTGTACAGTTTTGTTCGGCGCGGCGCCGGCGTGTGCTCTAGCAATTGTGGAAGTGCAGGCGACCGCAGTCGGTAAAGAACAGGTTAGAGCCGCGCCAAACCCACTGCTAAAAGTCCAGCGGTCGCAGCAAACAAGACTGTGTGACCGCAAGTTCTTCCTCTGGACAATGGAACATTTAGCAGCAATTCCTGCATGTCCTCTTCCCGCTATAATTTTACGTTTACTTATTTATTTGTTTGTTTCAGATTGACTCTCGCAATGGTTTTGGCGAAGTAACAAATTCCTCGCGGGTAATCGCGAGGGAAAAGTATGGGCCGATTGATGAATATCTGCTTGAACGAGGATCCCGGTCGACGACCGAATTTCGATCAAATAATCCCGATTCTGGAAAAAATGTCATAACAAGAAAAAACAGAGAGAAATATTGTAAATATACGTAATCGACTCCAACGATTGATAATTACGATTCCTTATGTTCCAAATACTCTGAACGTGCCAAGCATAATTGTTTTCATTTATCAGTGGTCCTTGTCAAATGTCATATTCTGGTCGAAAAGGATATCTTAATAGTTCAAAGTTGAAAAGAGAATGATGATGCCTAACAGATTATTTGCATTGCCACAATCGGTGCTTTCCATACAGAAATCTGCTTATCTTCTAACTCTTTTCATTTATTCATTTAGAAACCCACCCATCAAATGTGATCGTATGATCATGAAGGTTTCTCGATTGAACTGCCAATTGTCTACTGTATTCCCTTAATAAACATGCATCGCTTCAAGTAAAGTTATAGCAAATTAGCAAAATCGTAGCGACATACACTGCATATCCCAGCGATGGAGTGGGCAGTGCTGCGTACTGTGGTGATGGCTTATGGACGCGTTGTTCGTCGGGGATATTTCCACTTGATTTCTGTTGGTGGCGAAACGCATGGTTGCAACTACCGCCATTTTTAGAAGAAGCACACAGTCACGGATTCTTCATCTCTGGAATATGGGGTGTACCAACGCGCGTGAAGGTTCATGAGTGGAAAAGCAAATGCTAGCCAAACCTTCACTGCTTTAATTTCACGCGCTCCTTCCGGAAATGCCTGCGCGCGTTATAGTGTGGATTACCTCGGAGGAATCCGAAAGCATTGCTTCTACAACTCTGCGAGGAGTCAAAGGCATTCGACACTCAAGAAATTCGAGCAGCCCTCTCAGAATACCTTCGCGTTTTTTTAAAGGCAGTTGGCACGATGATTTGGTGCTCGGCCTAAAATGCTAGTAGGGCGCTATATAGTGGGGAAATGGCGAAAGAACGGAGTGAAACGGTCAAAATCCTGCGAAGAAAGAGCCTCCGTTCTCACTGTGTTAGTAATCAATTTTGGACGAGTTTCCCGTAGGCATCTTGCCAATAACCGCTACCGAAGGTACGGCTGCATATGTGTACTCATATATCCATGCAGCATCACGGCCGCTTCATACCAATCCCTTCGCTTCATAATTTGCTTAGCAAATGAATCGATTAGAGCGTCAGGAACGGTCGTCCATTTGTGGGCGGGCGGGCGTGGCGGGCGTTTGGGTCGGAATGTTGTGGCTTGATAGGGCCCTTATAAGGGCACCTTCCTTGGAAAAGGCATTATGCAGCGCCTGCTCAGGGTCGCGGAATTCCGTCCTGCCAGGCGTATTAGTCCTACTCGTCTTGGGGGATTTATCGTGCCAACTGCCTTTAAGCTCGAAGAAGGAGCGCAATGAAAACATTTCCAATAATGAGCCGATTTTCGGTCCCGGCTAATCACGGACTCTCCTTCTCTACCTGATTCGGCACTTATATACGATTCTCACTCCCAATATTTCGGTAAACACAACCCCTACGCAAGAAGTATCTTATGAAATCCCATTAATCACTCTTTCTTTTCACGAGAAATCCAACTACAGTCGTCTAATAGGCGATCCTACAGGGAGGAACTGATCACTAAATACACTAGAATCCATTAAATGTCATCTGGTCGGTTGATTACAAACAAGTGATAGAGCTCCTATTTTTGAGATACAGTCGAGCTAATGCAACAAAGCATGAAACGATAGCGGAGGGATTCCGTCACCAAGAATGTCCTGCCGTCAGGAAAAATTTTTGCAAAACACGACTCCCTCGAAAGTCCCCTCTCTGGTACGGCTCCTACCGCTTTTCCCAAAAGGGGAGAGCATAGCGCACGTAAGCCGGAGAACCTAGAAAGTTGGACAGCTAGGTAGATTTTCGCGAAGGCAAGAACGATCCCCCTCCCTTCAGCGACCAAAGATGACCTCCCTCGCTGGGATCTGTAACGCAGGACGCATTTGGTTCTCACACTCATCA